AGGAGGTAAAGAACAAGAAAAAAACCTGGTCATAAGAGTTAACGAGGTTGCTCAAAAGGTCCTAACTCCCAGAGTGTTGCTACTGGTAATTGACCCAGTAATGGGAATTACCATGAAATCGCTTTGGCCCACGGTTCATGAATTCTCTCAACAAGACTGTTTTACCTTTGAGACTCCATTTGCATTTTCCAGGGATGCAATGCTTATATCCAAATTTTGATACATAATTGGATTAATCATTTCTGTGATTTCATTGATGTTTATCAAGCAAGCAAGACTGCATGAATTTTAAGCAACTTTTCTCAAGTAACTTTCACCATATTACCTATCCAGTTTTGATGAGGTTTGCACAAAAGTGAGCATATACTAGGATATGGCTTAAAATGGGTCCATCAATATTCCCCAGAATTAACAAGAAGGACTTTAACTTATGACATAGTTAAAAATACATTATTTTTTCTTCTCAGGTACTTTGATAGAAGAAAGAATCTTAAATCAAGGGCAAAAACACCTTTCAGCTGCCAAGAAGTTGTGCTACTTCTATTGGTATTCCTGTCTAGTTCAAAAGAGGCGTAAAATCATCCATCACTTGAGAGGCAATAAAAGACTCCTTACAGACACAGAACCAGTTACAAGGCCTATTTTCAACAACTTTCTGAGCAGAATTCTAAGTAAATTACTTCAACTGTTTCTTTTTCTTGTGGGTGATTTATCCAGATGATTTCTTGGTCTTTCTATGAATAATTCATTGTAGTCATACATTTAGAACTATTCTTGTAAATCACTTCTCCAAGTCCTATGGTTTCACATCACTTTGCTTCTTTCATCAAGAACTCCCCTTTCTATAAATCCACGATAAAAACATTTTTAAAAAGCTGCATTCAGAGTTGAAATCTGAGTGGATCATTAAATGAAAAAAAGTATGGTTCATCCAGCAGGTTTTCCAAGTCAGAAATTTTACACCATTCCTATTACATCCACAGGTTAAGAGTAATAGAAACTGACAGCAGTACAAGTCACTCAGAGGAGAGAACAGATAAGATTAAAACTGAAGACGCTCCTTCTTGCAACTGATGGAGTCAATGTGCACAGAAAATAATCTTGAAATCAGTTTCATAGTACAACCACTTCAATCATCTTTTTATTCTAATGCTGTCAGTCATAAATTTAACTCCTTATATTATACAGCTTATAGCTAACTCTGTGCATTGCTTCTTGAGTTGGTGGTAATGCTGAACAAAATGTTCCCCAAAGGTTCCAGATCTCAATAAAGCAGTTTTCATAAAATCAACATGAAATTTCCAGCAATCGTGGTGAGGCGATCATATCTACCAATAAATGACGATCCTTTGAGCCCACTGAGGGCAAGGTCAACTATTCCAGTCAAAAAATCAGATAACCATCTCTACAAAAGTCGTGTAGAGAGGTATGAAAACAAATTAAAGCAAAAGTGCAACTATATCCATTAAGAACAGAAATACCAAACTTTTCTTGCAATTCCTAAGATATTTCCTAATATTCGAGAACCTTGTCAAAGATGAGAGCAGCAACACATATCTATCATATAGGCCCAAGACAACTCCAAAATGAAGAACTTTAACAGATTCGTAACAATCTTGTCAATGATAGCTCTCGCTCCAAGTTCACCTCAAAAACAAAACACAAACCCAGCAGGCACAACCTCATCATAGGGTAAAGTAGATATTTTTCACTGATTAATGTTCTCCAAGGCTTCTCCACCATCTGCTCCAGTAGATCTCCCAAGAAGAGAACTGCCCAATGCACTGCCAACTGACTGTATGCCCCCTTTGCCTTACATGGCACCATGGTTTTCAACTGATACACACTAAAATGTTTATCAATGCCAAATTTTTAGTCAAAACAATAACATATTTTGGCATATTAATGAAAATGTGTTGAAAACTTTGATATGTTGATGAACACCAATCTCTTGCTCAAAACAATAAGAAGTTTGGGCTACATTGATGAAATGTATTGAACCCCCCCACCCCAACAAGCTATCCAACAAGGGGAGCCACTGTGATTAACCTTATCTTAAGGTTCACCTCAAATAATCCTTTGATGATTGATATTGGGAGTACTTTGAAGTCTCTACATTTAGGTCAACTTGTAAGGTCAAGCATCCATGGATGGTAAGTAGCTGGCGCTAGCCAAAAAGTCAAGATGTTATCATTATCTGCTGTCCTAACTCATTAATTAAGGTCAACACTAAAAATCTAAGTACGACAAAGCGAGATCAAACCAAGATCACTATCTATTATCATTTGGTTACAAAATAACTTCAGAATGTTTTTAGAAAATTAAAAAATCATTTAATTTTCAATTTTTTTTCTTTTCAAAAGCCAATACACATCTAGTTGGGTGGTCATCACTTGGTCCACACAGAGCAGGGGTGGTCAGCTGTCAATAAATTACATGACTTAATCAGTGCCTCATCACTTAGCTCTAGGTGTGAAGTGACCACAGCTGTGAACTGACCAACCATCTGTAGAAGGCATCAGGTGGTCAGTGAGATGTAACTGATCAGCAGTCAAGCTGCTAGCATGTCCGGGTGAGATAAGAAGTCTGTCTGTCCACATGTCCGTCTGTCTGTCTGTCAACCCGTCTCTCAGTTCATCTGTATATTGCTATCTTTACACTCCTCTCATTCACATACAATGCTACAAAAACCAATATTATACAACATTTCATCACTATGCACCCAATGCCACGTTCCAAATGGTATCCATTTCTGCTTTCTGCTAGGCACACAACAAACAGTTATAATAAACAAGGTAGGTTACCTGTCTATAGTGTTATATATATATATATATATATATATACAAATGATATAAAAAGGTTTTATTTTTAGGTGACTAGGATCATGTTCCATTTAATAAATGAGGGCAGTAAAATAATGACAGAGAGTCAAAATACAGAAAAAAAAAACACTTTAACAAATGAGCAGCGTTGTCACAAACCAGATTGTTCACCTCAACATTCTCCTATTTTATTTTCCAATACTGGATAAAGCCGTTAGGTTTATTTATTTATTTATAATGGCAAACCACATTTCAAGCAACAGATAAAAATATTCTTTAATAAGAATACATTTCCAGGGTCTCAGATCTGGAAATATGATCCTTTAGAACAGTTATATACAGCAAATCTACCTCATTCCTTGGAGATTATAAGTATATGAAGTACCTAGCACATAACATCACACAACTCCTCTATAAATCATCTCAACTTCAAAGACACAGTCATAACCAGTACATTGAAAGTGTTCCTGAGTGGTATAACTAGGGTGTATCCCTCCCTAAAAAGCTAATTCAATGACCAATCAATTAGTGGTTGATTTCACTCCAATTAATTCATTCTTTTTGTTAAATTTTTTTTCTATTTCATTGGTTCATCTATTCTATTTCATAATGATTATCATTCCAATTTTTGTTATGAATTGCCTAATTATCTTTTTTTTTTTTTTTTTTTTTTGACTTTCTGTAACCAGTTTAATGGAAATATAATGTCACAGTGACATTAATAAGTTCCTTGAAAATGACAACAGGAAGATATATATCATAACTTTTTTTCATTTTTGATGCTTGGAATAGATTAAAAGCACCTGCCCACAACCCAGAAATAAAAACTTTAAAATAGCATGCAAATTTCTTATCACAAACCTTCCATCCTTTCACCCCCTAAAATATAAAATAGACCCACCCTGCAGGGGCATTTATCAGAGAAGTCCGGTTAGTCAACTCCGACCTCAGAGGTCAATCAGCAAATGTGGAGAGAAAAAAAATGTCTCTGTAGTCATCAAGTGCAAACAGCCTCAGGGGTACGCCTTGTAAACCTATCACGAAGAGTTCTCCTGCACTCTCAAATAACTGCATGCACATAATGACTATTAACAGAAGAAAAATGCAGCTACGATAATACCATTTGACCAGTTTACCACAGTGTGAAAATCTCGCAAATGCACATGCATGCTTTTATGCAAGTACCCTCCAGCACAATCAGAGAATTGTGTCACGAATTAGCCAAAGCCATCTCTGTAAATATCTAGTGAAAACTTAATTGTAGAGGGTAGCATGCCAGTATGTTCACAATTTAGCAAACATTAGCCTATTTTATAGTTGAATCATTATATTTGCATCATATACCAGTTTAATGTATAATGTTATGTAACTGAATTCTTCTCTTTATTTCAACTGTATTGATTTTCAAACACGAGGAAAGTTTTCAGCCTCTCTGCTGTGCTTTCTATTCAGAAATTCTCTTTCATTTTGTTTGCCCACCATCTTGTGTGCCTAATCCTTAAAGTGGTGCAGTAATACCTTTAAAGAAGTATTTGGGATTATCCATTTCTGATATTTCAAGTAGCATCTTGATAATAAACATAGTATCAAGTGTGTAACAAGAAAGTATCAAGTAAAAGAAAAGGTCAAATAACTAGAAATCTGAGCAGAAGTTTTAGATGTAGAGAAGCAAGGAAAATGCTACAACATGTGCTAAAAAACAGATCTTTATACGCATACATGTCCCCAAAATACATTTGCTGAAGTCAAAAATGCTTCCAAATCT